TGTCATCTGATCCTTCAATGAGTCATGATCTTTTAGCTGGTGGAGGGTTTTACTTCAATGTTGAGGGCTGATGACTGATCAGTGTGGTGGCCTAGAGTTTGGCTCATCTGGGCTTTCAACATGCCTTCCTCATTAAGCTTAATCATTTCCAGTTTTTTGATTTAAAGTGAGAGAGTTCTGACTCTTCCTTTCACTTGAACACTTACAGGCCATTGTTGTGTTATTAATTAACCTAATTTCAATATTCTTGTGTCTCAGGGAAGAGGGGGGCCCAAGCAGAGGGAAAAAGAGAGGGGGGCTGGTAATTGGTGGAGCAATCAGAACACACATAACATTTATTGATTAAGTTCACCATCTTACATGGGCACAGTTTGTGATATCCCAAAACAACTATAATAGTAACATCAAAGATCAGTGATCACAGGTCACCATGAAAGATATAATACTAATGAAAAAAGTTTGAAGCATTGCAAGAATTACCAAAATGTGACACAGAGACATGATGTGAACACATGTGGTTGGAAATGGTGCCAATTGACTTGTTCAACCCAGGATTGTCATAAACCTTCAATTTGTAGAAATACAATATCTGTGAAGTGCAATAAAGCAAAGTTATATAAAACAAGGTATGCTGGTATTAGAAATACTGGCAAAGAATTGGGATAACATCTATGAGTACCACAGAAACAATAAAGAAGTTCAATACTACAAGCATCTTTTATTTCACCTCAGGTATGTGCAGGTATGCCTTATGAAGGGAGAGACTGAGTACAAAACATTTTTAACCTGTGGATAAGTAAGTTGGATAGTATGACTTGAATACAGAATGAAGGGGAAAAGCATATAACTAACAAACTTTTTTATAAAAGTCAGTGGTTCACAAACTTTTTTTTTATCTCAAGACCTTTCAGTACTCAAAAGTTATTAATTTCTCCCACCCAACCAAAAGAATTTATGTTGGTTATATTTATCACCACATACTATATTAGAAAATAAAATTATTTATTAGTCTTAGTATTATTAGGAAAACAGTTTTGATATAAAGGATCCTTTGAAAGGGCCTCACTGACTACACTTTGAGAACCTTTGAAGTAGGATGTAATTCAGAGGTGAGTTGGAATCAGCTTCAACTGGCTAGTGAGAGCCAATTGTTAAATTTTCATTGTGAGCATTTACACTCCAGAAACTGGCAAATATTACAAATCAGAACTTGATTTGTAGACACTAAGAGCTTCTGAAGAGAAGAAAAGAAAGATGATAAAACATCTCTCTCAATAGAGAATGGTGCTTGAGGATAGGAAAGGCTAGATACTGGACATGGTGAACAGGGACAGATGGGACTCCTGCAGCTGTCTGGGTAAGTGAAGTTCTTTATCATAGCCAGGCTTGCTATTTGTCCAAACAGCAACTCTTTTTGTTTTCTTCTGTTCAGTAGGACTGTAGTAAATACTAATGACAAAATCACTTTTTCTCCCTTTTCTGATCTTCACCCAAATACAAAGTTCTTGGATTTTCCTATATGAGTGGATATTAATACACAATGCCTACCTCACTCCTTTTTATCTACTCCATTTTTTTTGGATGAAGTATACCCATGTAGAACTATGGTCTAGTCATGTCTTTTATTCTACCAAGTCTCAGAGATATCTATGAGGGCAAATTTGTCTCCTTGCATTAAAGTTACTAATTCTTCTCGTGTTTGTTTGGACATATGTATAGGGACCTTTGAATACATAAGGTTTACTACTGATTCTTTTCTTGAATTATTTTTTCCTATGAATTTCTGAGCATTACATCTCCTATTTTCTTCATTCTTTGTGGATATTTTTATATTATCTGTCTTGGTAGATACACATAAGCAGTCTTATTTCTTCCTCATCCTTTTTAGTTTAAAGCCATTTAGATTAGATTTGCAAGACACCTGGTAATGAACCTTTTTTAGGTATACTCTATCTCTGGTCAGGAATTTGTAATATCATTATTATTGTAATCCATGGTCCATAAATCTGAATCCCATTCTTAGACACCATGTTCTTAGTCAGCTATCCAGTTTCCAAAAAAAAAAAAATGGGCTTATTCATTGCTTTTATTCACTGGTGAAGGGTGAGGAAAATGTACCCTGTGGCCCTATGTTCTTTAGTTTATAAAGAACTTCTTAATTGTGAGCAATATTGTTTAGGTTCCTTCTGGAGGTGTCATTTGTATAGTATTTAGTACAGGGCTGATATCCTACAGTACTGAGTTTATAATATGAATTCAATAGATATACTCTTAAACGCATTAATCAATCATTTCCTGATGGCCTTTAAAAATAAAGATCTGATATAGAGTTTTGTGCAATGGTTTTTAAATTGATTTTATGCTAGCAAGACTTGCTTCTTCTGCTATGATTAAGGACTCAGAAGGCCAGAAGAGGCATTGCAAGATCAGTTATTCCAATAGTCTACCTTAAGGCATAATTACACTTAACCTTTAAGACAGATCACCTTTGTGACTTGAAGCTATCAACCATAGAAATGCCCAGTGCCACTAAAGAAGCATTATGTATAAGTATGCTACTGTGGTAGCCCCTGGTAAAATCACCAATCTGTATGGCTGTGAGACACTTCCTTCAACGTCTACACACCAAGAAAGTATACAAGAAATGCAGCTGCCATACAAACCTTCTTTATGACAATCTGAACCTGCCTGCCTATCTCTGTATCTCTAGTGTAAATTCACATTAGCCAGGCGAATAGAGATTTATTTAAGTTTTGTCTATCTTTTATCTCCTTCTAGAAAAGAATGACTCACTGATTAATAAGTATAGTATTTTAGCTCTGTTACAGAACAAAATTGTTCTGTAAAATTTAGATTCAGTCAATTTGGATTCAGCACTTAAGGATCTAGAAGACTACATGTGAACTCAAGGCCACAGGTTTCCCACTCCTGCTATGTGATCATGAGTGGATCACTTAACCTTTCAATGTTCCTTTTGAATCTTTAAGATCATAAATTTCAGGACAGTTATCCCTCTGTCTTGATATAGGGAGTTACTTGATACAGGAAGTTTCTTCACCAAGATTTCCTGAAACAATGAAATAAAATGAATGGTGTGTGTGTGTCTGTGTGTGTGTGTGTGTATGTGAAAGGGAGGGGTAGGTGAATTTGTTGTGTAGTTAGTGAAAGCACCAATCAATTTGTAAGCCTCTTTCCTACTCCTCCCCAAAATGCCTAGCATTAAACAAAATATTATATAATCTCTATTGCATCTTAAAAGGTTCTCTATGTAAATTCTACCACTTTATAGGTTAGGAAACTGAGGCCAAGAAAGGTTTTATTTATCCAAGGTCACAACTGCAAAAGATTGATCTCAATCCCAATGTGCTTTGCTTCTAGTCTAAGCATCTATTTTACCCTGTATCCTGTTAATGTTTCAAAATATTCTACAGGGGTAGGGAACCTGTGGCCTTGAAGTCATATATGACCCCCTAGGTCCTCAAGTGTGGCCCTTTAGGACCTAGGGGGTCATATGTAACCTCAAGGCTGCAGGTTCCCCACCCCTGAGTCCTTGAAGATAACAGGGATTTGTTCCAAAATTCTTCCAGTAACAGTATTTAAAAGGTATCCATGATTTCTCTAATGTCAATAAAGTCATAAAATGTTTATTTTTATTTTTCTAATTACAAAGAAATTTGAATCAAATAGGAGGTTTGAAACGCATTTGTTGAGTAAGAAAATATTATGGTATACTTTTTTTAATACCAGAAAGCTACCTATCAGGCACTTCATAGAGTCTGAAAACATGCCATTATGGTTTTTTTTAATTTATTAAAACATTTCACTACCAACTAGCAATAATGGCTAGCATCTTACATTTCCTATTATTCTGAATTATTCAATGATTATTTCTTTTCCCAATGATTACTTCTTAAAAAACAATTAAAAACCCTTAGTGGTTCAATGGATAGATCATTGGACCTGAAGTTAGAAAGACCTGAGTTCAAATCCAGCCTAAAACACTTACTAGTTATGTGACACTGGACAAATCAGGTAACTTCTGTTTGTCTCCATTTCCACAGCTATAAAATGGAGATTAACAAAATGAAACAAACAAAAACACCTACCATCCAGGCCTTTTATGAGAACAAAATGAGCTAATATTTGTATAAGGTTTTGCAAATGTTAAACTGATATATAATTTTAGCTACTATTATTATTGATGTAACATATTATAGGCAATGCATGATATAATGTGTACTCTCAAAGAACTTGCTCTAGGAAGTCATAAAATGACTTTGAATTTATAAGAGATTAATTAATCTCAGCAACAACAATTGTGCTTCAAGGGAAAAAAAGAAAATGGGTACCCACTGGGAAATGACTGAACATCCTGTAGTATATGAAAGTCATGGAGTATTATTATTACCATAAGAAATGACAAATGTGAGGAATTCAGAAAAAAAAAACATCAAAAGACTTATATGAACTGATTCAGAAGGAAGTAAATATAACCAGGAGGACAATATGTGGAATTGCTAAAGTAATGTTGTTTATAACAACACTAAAAACAGTTAAATTCTGATGGAATTGTAATAAACAGTCGCAGCCAAGAAGAACTGATGGGGAAACAAACCTCCCTCTTCTCAGTAAAGAGATACAGACTGCAGATCTGGAATGCAATAGACACAATTAGACAGATGTGTTTAGTGGCTTTGCTTAAGTGTTTTTTTTTTCTTTATTACAAGGAAGAGTTTGCAGCTGATGGGGTTGTGATGAGGGGAAGTGATGGTGACCAAAAAAATAATACTAAAATTCATTTTAAAACTAAAATTATTGTAATGTTTTGCTTATATATATATTTTTAAAAAGCTGGCAGTCCTTGTAGCCATGCTAGTATATTACTTTAACTATAGCTTTGCTGAAAAAACAGGAATCACTTTTTTATCTCATTTTTTCCAAGAGAGTCAGAATAAAGTCCTTTCCACATATAATGCCCATAAAAAAGCAGTCATCTTTACCTCGTTTATGAAGGAGAACACTGGCGTGCCTGCGTCCATTTCCATTTTCAACATAACAAGAGTAATTTCCCAAATCTCCTTCCTCTACAGAGTCAACAATTAATGAGATGGAAACTTCTTGCTCCCCAAGATGTTCCTTAAGAATCCTAAATAACACACACATACACAAATGTATACACTATCAGATTATTACATGATTCTGATTTTCTGATATGAATACACTACTCACAATCTATAACATTTGATCTTCAAATTTGGCTATGGTTTGATGTGATCTTAATTAAATTACATCATGCCTCTTTGTTCCTCACTTCTAATGAGAATTCTTGCCTAGGTGGATGCAAATGACAATTGCAGCTAATTATCTTCCTGAGAAGGAGGACTCACATGGTGAAAACACCAGAGAGGTGAAGGACATTTTGAAGAAAAGTTTATAAATTGTTTTCCAGATGAGGTAGATTATGGTGTTGGTCTGAGAAGGTGAAAAATTACGATGTCCTAGGCTGTAAATTTATTTCTCAGCTTTTGTCAAGAAACATATTTCTGTGATATTATGACATTTCAGTTGAAGCCCCCAGTCTGGCATTTTTAATGATAAAATATAATTGCCTATTTTTAAAGAAATGTGAAATTATTAACCTTGAGGCTGAATGTTCGGATAAAATGGTTAATTCTGACATTTGAAATGAATGGTAAAAAGTTCCCTCAACTAACTGCCAATGAATTTAGCATTCTATGCAACAAATAAGGTGGTATTTCTTTAAACTGCTGGTTCCTTCTCTTAGCACTCTCCAGCTGGGTCTCTACCTTTCCTCCTGAATTTCCAACCCACATCCATACACATGCACAAATTTTCCAATTCAGGAGAGAAAATGGAAAACCTCCTTAGAGTCTTTCCTGAACAAGCAAAAAAAAAAAAAAAAGCAAACAAACACAACAACAACAACAAGAAACCAAAACAACCAAACAAAAACCATTGTAAAGAGACTTGTGGCTCCTTTTAAACTTTTGAAGTTTATGGTCTCTGGGTGAAAGACAATAGCAAAGCTTTAAATAAGAATTATTGCTCAACTACATTCCACATTTCATAGTACACTTGTTCTGGGCTTTGGATGATAAAATTAGAGTACACTAGGGTGAGATACACCTGCTTCCTTCTTGCCACTGCCCAGAGAAGAGGAACCTTATTAGAATAAACTCAAAAGATTTCATGAGTCTATCTTTTTCTGAAGAATATATTTTTTTCTGTTACCTTTACCAGTTTTCATGTTGAAGATGACAAACAGAAAATACTAAAATTGCTTCTCTTATCCTAGATAATGTGATCTTCAGATGAAGATAAAGTTCAGAACTTTATACATCGATTTGATTCTGTCGTATAGGCATTCATTGTGGCTAGTATAACCTTGTACATTTAAATTGTGTTTAAGATTCAGTAGCTGTAATGAAGCATAATTTTAGTGAGTAATGCAGACAGACCTTGAAGCCAGAAGAAGGAGATGCAGGGGATTTCAGTTTCTCTCCTCAACCTTGATTATTTTTGTAAGTTTATTCCTCTTTATCATCTCTACTGCATAAATTTTTGTACATCAAAGTGAGAATAAGGAAGACTTTTATACAAGGAATACATTTTGCATCCCAGTATTTTGTACTTTCCTCAAGTGCTTTTCAGTTTACTAGGTAATTAGAATGTATAAGAAATATATGCAGAAAGATAGGAATGTTACAATGTTCTGTCTCTAGTACCTTGATAATGTCTCTTTTTCTTCCTTTTTCTTATTATTAAGAACACTTAGGAAAACCATGCTGACACAATTTCCATATTTTTATTGTACTTTGATCTCTTGAACAATACTGTATTCCTTAGTGAAAACTATTCTTGACATGTTTATTTCCTGTAACTTCTCAGTTGGCATGCCTGTTTTGCATTTCATCAGTCAGTCTCTTAACAACTTTTCCTCTCTGTCATTCAGTGTTAAAGGATTTTTATTGTCAGAGTAGTAATAAAAAGTTCTCTTTATTCAGGGCTGCACTCTCCATTTAAGCAAGTTCATTGAATATAGCAAAAGAAAAATAAAACAGTGACAACAACATATGTTTTACCTAATGTCACTTTCCCAGACCCGATTTTCATCAAGATCTTCAATAAACTTCTCTCCTTTCATCCAGTAAATTAAAGGACTGACATCTCCACTATATCCAAAGAATGCTCGGCAGGTTAGATTAGCCAAATTGCCTGTTACAGAGAAATAATGAAAACATGTTATTTTAAAATATTTAATTTGTTGAACAAGCTAGAAGGAAAGACTTTGATCATATTGAGGGTTGTATAATACAATGCTAATCTATGAGTACTGCTTTTGGGGTTTACACTTTTCACCTAGGTCAAAAACAAAAAGCATATGCTTTTGCAGAGTGGTTTGGTCATTGGAGTGAGAATTATTGACAAAATTTTTCAGGGTAAAGAGAATGCCATTTAGGTCATTATATGTGTGAGAATATTTAAAGGGAGTCACACCTTTGACTAAGAAACATAAGAAATCAGTAATCAAAGGTTGCCTAACTATATTACAAATAACTAATTTACTCTATGAAAAGTCTGATTTTAAACAAGTAAAGTGCAAATATGTGCACACAAAAATATAGATAGGAAGAAAATTACACTAATAAAATGCTTTGCATCATCTTTCTTTAGATGTAAAATTATTGACAGTGAGTGATCAAACATGTCCCATTTATTGAGATTCTGGATGGGAAGCATCAAAATACCACAATGACAATAACTTGACTAGCTGACACATATTAATCACATTCAGTCTGATACAAATATATATATATGTATATATATACATATATATGCATGTATATATATACATATATATAGTGTGTGTGTGTGTGTGTATGTATATATATATATATATATATATATCATGGTTATTGTTGTAGTTGTTGTGGATTCAAGTCCTACCTCTGACATATGCTGGTTCTGTGAACAAGGACAAGTTTCTTGACCTCTTAGTGTCCTAGACAACTCTTTAAGACTATCATTTATAATAATAGGTATAGCTAGCATATATGTAGCTCCTTACCTATGCTGTTTCATCTGATCCTTTCAACAATCCTAAGAGATAGGGGTAGCTAGGTGACACAGTGGATAGAGCACCGGCCCTGGAGTCAGGAGGACCTGAGTTCAAATCTGGCCTCAGACACATAACACTCATTAGATGTGTGACTCTGGGCAAGTCACTTAACCCCAATTGCCTCACAAAACAAAAACAATTCTAAGAGACAGGTGCTGATTCTCATTTTACAGATGAGAAAACTAAGGCAGATAGAAGTTGTGTCATGGGCATACAACTAGTATCTGGAGCAGAATTTGAACTCAGGGTCCTCTAGACTCCAGGGCAGCTAGGTGGCACGGTGAATATCAGATCTGGAGTCAGGAAGACTCATCTTCCTGAGCTCAAATCTGGCCTGAGATACATACTAACTGTGTGACCTTGGGCAAGTCACTTAACCATGTTTGCCTAATTCTCCACATCTGTAAAATGAGTTGGAGAAGGAAATGGCAAACCACTCCAGTATCTGTGCCAAGAAATCCCCTAATGCAGTCATGAAGAGAAGGACATGACTGAAAAGTGACTGAACAACAACCTCGACTCCAAGTCTAACACTCTATTATGTCATCTAGCTGCTGTAAAGAAGTTGTATTAAGGGTACCAACCTGCAATGGTACCTTATCAAGGAACTCTCTCTTCCCAAATGAATAAATAAATAAACAAATAAATAAGTCCCAAGTCCATTCCCTCCACTAGCCTAATTGATGTTTCCAGTTTTCAAACTGAAATAAACTAGTCGATCTCAAGATTCCTCCAAGGTGAAGATTTTGCTCCAAGCACTATCTTCCACTTCACACAAAAACACCACAGAGTAAAAGGTAACAACATAAGTATGCTGCACAAAATACTGAATTTGGATTCATGAAATATTCGACCTAAATCTCCTACATCCCAAATTAACTGCCTCTGCAACCCTGGGCAAATTGTTTGGGATAAAATACTTTTAGTACCTACTTCACTGGATTCTTAGGAGGATCAAATGAAGTGAAATACATAAAACACTTGGCAAAACTTAAAAGCGCATTGACAATGTAAGTAGTAGAAATAGTAACAATAGCAACATCAGGAACCACTGCCACTGTTGTCATTAACATGCAGAAGTTTTTGGAGCATTTCAACAGCATAGTTTTATTCTGAGTAATAGTGAACACTGTGACCATGTCTAGGGTGCAAGATGGAAACTTCTAATTTCTGTCCTGTTCTTCCCCTGGCATTCCTAGGAGAGCAGGGTGTAAATGAAGTGATTCCAACAGTCTGGTTTTCTCAAGAAGCAAGCAGTGAATCACCATTTGCCTTGGGATAACTTAGATAAAAAATAAAGAGGTAGGGAGTGCAGCTAGGTGGTGCAGTGAATAGAGCACTGACCCTGGATTCAGGAGGACCTGAGTTCAAATCTGGCCTCAGACACTTGACTTTTACTGTGTGACCCCGGGCAAGTTACTTAACCCCAGGCCTAGCAAAAAAATAAGTAAATAAACAAATAAAATAAAGAAGAAGGATGCTTTGTTGATTCTCTGCACCTAAATGCAGGCATACCTATAAACTTATTGCTCATCTACTTTTATATCAAGTTGTTAAATAACAATAGAGGTATGTAGAAGGGAATAATTATTTCATTCACTTAACTATCTCCACAGGGAGCATAAGAGGATCAATATTTAGTTCTTAAAGAATTTTCAAGGCACTTATAAAACCAAGGCACTGAACTAGAATTTTAGATGATTTTTAAGTATCTTTTCAGCTCTAGGAGTCTATGTGCCTATGAAACTGTATATCCATATATATCCATAGGTACCATTTGTCAATTGGGAAGTTTATTCAAGTGGCTATCAGTACAGTGGTTTCATCCTTGATTACTCCAAATAGTTAAAAGGGACAACAATCCTTCAAATTATGTCCTATTATGGTTATGCTTTATATTATAGATTTTAATATCCAGGAAATGATAAAACATTTCATTGAACTGCTAAATTTCAACTGTCAAAATTTAACTATCTGGGTTCATACAATGTTTAAATTACTGGCATAAATAAATGGTAAAAAAAATAAAATGACTAGTTGTTTCCATAAGTTAATTTTTTGTGCTACTAACACTTTTCATAATGTAGAGATCTCTATAGGAATTATTAGGTCTCTGCTAGAAATTTTAGACATTATAGATGATAACAAGGAAATTACATAGGCACAAACCAGTTAAGAGAATAAGTTTAATATTGTTTGACTGATGAGTTCCAGACCAAAAAAATCGATCTTTTTAAGATAATGTATTGAATTTAATTTTAATTTTCAAAAATCAGAAGACAACGAATGCCTGAGAGAAATATAACTCATCCACAAAAAAATAAGACTGTATTGCTAGGATACTATGTACATTAACTTCCAACCAGAGTCTATTTCTTCTAAAGGGATGGGACTTTAGTGGATACCTCCAACTATGGCTAATTATATTTACTGTGGAGTTGGAGGAAGTAGAGAGGATTCCTGTTTCTATTCTGGCTCCTACAATAAGGGATATATCCAAGAAACTTCCAAAGCCATGAATCTCTTCTTCTGTCTAGTTCCATCCTAGAGTTCCAAAAGAACCCCAATGACACCCTAATAGTTCACAGACAACTAGATTCAGGCTATGGCAAGACTTCTAAAATACTCAATTTTACCTAATTTCAAAAGACCCCAGATGCACCTCATCTAAACTTCCCTGCTGAGGGGGCCACTATCTTCCCATTCACATAAGATTCATAATATCCAAATCACCTTTGAATCTTTTCTCTTCTCAGTCTCCTATATCCTATCAGTTTCTAAGCCTTGTCAATTCTACTTCTCCCAACTGACTCTTTTTCTGTACTTACACTGCCACCACTTCAACAGAGGTCCTTATCATCTCCTGATTTGACAGTTTCATTAGCCTGCTAATTACTTTCTCTGCCACCATTTCTTCCTTTCTGTAGTTCATCTTCTGTATAGTTTCCAGAAATAATCTTCTTTATTATTATTTATTTATTTATTATTATTACTATTTTTTGCTGAGGCAATCAGGGTTAAGTGACTTGCCCAGGGTCATGCAGCTAGTAAGTGTCAAGTGTCTGAGGCTGGATTTGAACTCAGGTCCTCCTGACTCCAAGGCTGGAACTCTATTCACTGTGCTACCTAGCTACCCCAGAAATAATCTTCTTAAGGCATAGTTCTAACCACACCATTACTCTTTAAAAACTTTTGGTTGCTCTTTATTGCTTCTAGGTTTAGGTACAGATCCCTTAGGTGGGCATTTATGTCCCAGCACAATCTGGATTCAACTTCTTTTCCAATATTGTTTTATATCATTCTCCTTCATAAATTCTATATTCCATCTGAAAAGACCACTTGCTATTACCTGAACTCAGCATTCCATGCCCCACCTCCATTATTTGTGCAGGTCAATCCTCATAATTAGAATGAATTCCCTCTTCATCACCAACCTTTTATGATCCTTATTTTCCATTGAGGCTAAGGTAACCAACTCTTCTATTAAGTCTTCCCTAATTCCTAGTGATCTCTCTGTCTTTTCAAAATTGCTTGCACTGTATTTATATGTGTCCATATTTTATTCTCTTTCTCCTCTTACCCCAACCCCAGCAGAATAGAGAATCATAGGTTTAAAACTGGAAAGGGCCTCAGGGGTCATGTGTTTTAAAAAAAAAAATCTCTATTTTACAGCTGAAGCACACAAGAAGAGGATAACTGATTTGCTGAAATCCAAACCAGTAATTTTTCACGCTGATGTGAATAATAGAGCTGTAATTTGAATCCAGAGTTTTGACTCCAAATGTGAATTCCATTATACTGTAAATGTAAACCCCTTAAGGGCATGGCTTATTTAATTTTTGTCCCTGTACCTCTAGTGACAAAAAGTGCTTTGAATGTAACAAGTTCTTCATAAATTATTTCTATAGAATTTTTAAATTGCATAAATAAAAGATGTCTTGGTACCATGAGGGAAGAGAAGGGAATAAACCTTTAGATAAAACTCAGGTGGTACTAGTTACAATGGGACAAATTCATTATCAGTCAATAACCTCTCTTTGTTCAAGGTCACACAATAATTCATCTGTCTAAATTTTCAGTACTACTTGGGCAATTA